TTGGGTTCCTCCTCATTTTTCTTTTGTCTTCCAAGGCTGGACTCTAGAGTGATGGATTCAGGATTTGCTTTCAGGTATTTTGATAGCTGTTGGAGTGGTTAGAATCAGTGTCAGTTCCCTCTCAAAGACTTGTAGATAGGGGGAGAAAACAAATTTATCCATCATTTGAGACAAATAGCTGGTTATCTCTCTTAGCAAAAGGTGGGTACTACAATATTGGAGACCAAGATTTGAAGTCTTACATCTGAGCAGCACTTTCTGGATAGGAACAAAATCATAAATGAGAAATAATTGTCTAAATAACTTTTTTTTTTATCTTTTTGAGACAGGGTCTCCCTGTAGCCCCAGCTGTCCTGGAACTCACTATGTAGACAAGGCTAGCCTTGGGGGCCACATGGGCTTGGGAGGGGCTCCTGGCTGCTTTCTGTTACCAGTTCCATCTATGTGAAGAGAAGTCAAAGGTCCTGCTCGACCATGTCTGGCTTCACTTGGAAGCATGAATGTTTCCTCTGAGTTGACCCTCCTTTTTTAAACTGGACACTGGTTCAAGTCCATCTCGTGGGGTCTCTGTGTCCTCCCTGAACAAGAGGACAGGTGACTCACTACAGTTCCAGGACATTTTGAGATATGTTCCATACTCCCCTGGAACTTAGTTGACCTTGGAGGGCAAGGGGGCAAAAACTGTCCTTTAAGTCCCTCTGACCATATTAGTATAGGCATCAAACTATGGCTGTTAAACATCCAATAAGGTTAGTTCCACCAGTCTGGTACTTTTAATTATCATGTACTATGTAGATAAGGCTTAGGTAAAAAACCAAGCATTCTAAGATAAACCTTGACTAGATATATATTTTGTTCCTTAAACTAGTTAACAAAACTTTGACCATAGAAATTTTAAGATTATGTGTATATTATTTTTGTTTCATCCTTTCTATATAATAACAAACCTAAACAGACCCTCACTTGCTTAGGCTTTCTCATTTTTTCTTTCTCTTCTGGAAAATATCTCTATTTCCCGTATCCTTTTAACATCTTTTACATCCTCATTTTCTTTTTTTTTAATAATTATGAGACATAATAGCATTAACAAATAAATTTTCCTACTGTTGTGAGACTTCTTTTCCTGGGGATACTAAGCAATGCTTATTCTCTTTTAAGGTTCTAGTGTCAAGCCAATGTTTGATTAAAGTTTTACTGTGGAACCAATGAATTTATTGAGCTTACTTACCAGATAACTGAGGGGTTGCTGAGGTGTATATGTGACCTGCGGGTATGCCCCCTGGAAAGCCTTAAGCCAGGATGGGTCATGCCTTCTCTTTCCTAGCCTTCTCCAGATTATATACTTTACCCCTCCCCAAATCCAGGAGGCCATGTGTGATTAGGGTCAAATTTTACTGTGGAACCAATGAATTTATTGAGCTTACTTACCAGATAACTGAGGGGTTGCTGAGGTGTATATGTGACCTGCGGGTATGCCCCCTGGAAAGCCTTAAGCCAGGATGGGTCATGCCTTCTCTTTCCTAGCCTTCTCCAGATTATATACTTTACCCCTCCCCAAATCCAGGAGGCCATGTGTGATTAGGGTCAAATTACATACAGTTGGCTGTTGGCTGTGGCTGGACTGACCACATATGAGAGAGAACATACATCTTTTGTTTTACTGAGTCTGTTTTACTTCACTTAGTATAACAGTTTCTAGATCCATCCATTTACCTGCAAATTTCATGATTTCATCTTTCTTTACTGCTGAGTAAAACTCCATCATATATATGAACCACATTTTCATTATCCACTCATCAATTGAGGGAAACCTAGGTTGCTTCAATCTCTTAGCTA